CTGCCTCACAGTTCAGGAGTTATTCACCAAAACACAAAGTATTTTTTAACTGGCCACAAGATGTCCAGCTTCTTTGTTGTGCACATGCTTATGGTGAACTTGTGCACCAAATTCCCAGAATTGTAGAAATATCATTAATGTTACTGTAGCGCCCCCTGTGAGTAAAATTGTATGAAACCTTACACACTTGTGCAAAGGAATTATGTTGAAATATAATATAGAAGCAGTAGAAGCAGCAAACACACAATAATGCACCAATGCTAAACCATTTTCTCACAGATCCATCTCATATCGGTTTCACATGACAAATCATTCTAGTTGTTTCCCTCCCCTCCATATATGATGTGGGCACAGTCCTCTTCCCCAAGAGAAGGATGTCCTCCATTGTTATCAGGTTGCCCACTCCGCCAATACTGAAAAGGTCTACAAACACAACAATAATGACATTGTTTTACATGAACACAGTCTGTTATTCCTGCTATTCACCAGGAAATGCCACCAAGACCTAAAACAGTTTGGGGCAGTGTGTTGGTGGGGTGAGTACAGGTGTATTTTAAATTGCATTCATTTCTTTTTTTTTTGACAAACAGGAGTTCTCCTCAGATTGTTTTAGCAAGGTTTAGCTCATTGATTTTAGCCCACAACTGCACTCTCATAAGCATCATTTCCAGCCACTGCAGGCAGTTGTTTCCAGCAAAAAGCTCTGATAAACCCATTGTACGTTATCTGCCCAGCACCCAACAGCATTCAGACAAGGTCAGTGACTAGCTGGTGAACATAGAACATTTAGCTCAGTTTAAGTGCAATTTAATTCAACATTACACTTAAAATTCAATAGGTGGAAACAACTCCAAATGAATGTTCATCTGTGTCTGCTTGATGTTCAGGCTGTTTACAGGTGCATCTCAAAAAAACAAAAAACATGTATACAGTAGTTCTACTTAACCAGACTAAGAGATTAAAGGCAGGTTGAAATTTCTGTATCATAATGTCCGTATTCTAAAATTCTAATATTTTGAAATACTAGATTTTTGATTTCCATGAGCTGTAAGCCATAATCACCAAGATTAAAACAAAACAAAGGCTTTGAATATTTAACTTCATTACACATGAAGTGAAATATCTCATGTGTAATGAATCTAGAATATATGACCGTTTCAGTTTTAAAATTCAATTAATTTTCCATGATTTTAAAATCATACATACATTATGATGTTTCTTATTATTTTGAGTTCCTCTTCTTCAAAGTAAACTTCTGGACCAACATTTGTAGTTTTTAATATTTGTACACAAATAAACTAGAAACTAAATGTACATTTGTATGTGACGATGTGTGCCAGCCTGTATGGTAAGAAGGAAATAACAATACATCTGTTTAGTGACAGCTCTAGAAACATTCTCTTAAAAATCTAAATTTCTAAACATCACTTCCTCTTGGTTGGAGATGTAAGTTGACCATGATTAAAAGAACCATAGCACCATCTAGTGGTATTTCTGGGTAAGATGTATTTCACAAAAAGTGGTATAGTTTTTGATTGCATCATATAAACGGTATATCGTGAGTGTGGTCCAGCCGATTAATTTCAAGTCAACTGCTGTGACTATACTGATACCACTTTGAAATGTTTGTTGTAAGCTCTGTTATTTCTGATGATTACCGAGGCACTCCTAAAACAAATACATTCTAATTATAGACTAATAACAGTATTTTATTTGCAATTTTGTTTATATTCAACCAAGGTATCTGCCTTACTGTAGAGACAGAGGAGCTCCATTAATCCACATCCAGGTCCCCTCCTTGATACGATCAGTCAAACCAATCCAAGCCATAATTTCTTCCTTGGTGAAGTTAGAGAGGAACTTCTGTTCAATAAACACAACAGAAAGTCACAGCATTTATATGTTAGTTTAAATAATATTATATTAGAATATACTGTATTCAACATTAAATGTAGACATCATGAACTGAACTTTACTGATTCATTAAAGTACAATGATTTTCCTCTGGTGCCACCCGCGTGCTGGGATATATCTCAACACTGCATAGATTGGCACAATATTTGGTACAGATATCTATGGTGCCCAGATAGTGTATGCTGTTGACATTTCCTGTCACCATGAGGTTGACTTTTAATTAGGCTATATACTGATATCTGATATCTCAACAACTAGATCACGGATGAATTGTAATAACATTGATAACGACTTTTTATCTATCTTCAGGTCAAAAAACTGTTTGTTCAATATTTTGATTTATTACCAAATACCTGGAAAACTAATGACATTCCCATCAGCCTCGGTTTTACTTACTTTTATTGTTCAGTGCTAATTAGCAAATGTTATCATGCTAACATGTTAAACCAACACAGTGAACATGGTGAAGATTATAGATGCTAAACAGCAACATGCCAGTATTATTATCATAAGCGTATTAGCATGCTGATGTTAGGAAGTTATGAACACTCATTTGTGTAAAATATTTCAGAAACACTGCACCTGTTCTTCAGAGCTGTTTATGACCACCAGATCTGCTCCTCTGGTTTTACAGTCCTCTCTACCCTTTTCCCAGGAACCAGACTCATTAGAGAGAAATAACAGGCGCAACTGAACATCCTCCATCCAACAGGACATGATTCTGTAAGAAACGATGAAACTTAAAAAATCAGACAATAGTTAAGTGCCAAAGATACAGTCTGGATGTAAAAAATCATGTACAGGTGAAACTCAAAAAATTAGCATATTGTTTCACCTGTATACATTTCCAGCATGAAGGTGGCTTCAATTTATACATTCACATAGTTATTATTCATCATGGCTTAATGGTGCTGCAAATACTGCAAATGTAATTAGAAAACGAAGATGAATCTCTTTCTGTCTCTCCTAACAGTCGCTTTCTCACTTTGTTTCTCTCACACATAGTGGGAGGGGGAGGGGCAAGACCCTCCATACAGTCTTTGCTTGCCTGCTTGGTTCCTGCGGCACAACCTCCTGCGCACCTGTGACTCATCCACTACTCGAGACTCTGCAGTGTATCTACCCTAGCTTTTCACTCCAGTCTTTGCCAGGTTGTTCAGTTTGCAAATGTGGTGCTATTGCTATGGACAGGTCTGTCATTCTTAGTGTTTTTGTTGTTTGTTTTTTTAAATCTAACCTTGCTCCTTCCTGTGTTCAGGTTCTACACTCACCTGTGATCTCACTCTGCCTGCCATGCATCTCTCTGGTCTTCAATTTTGCTCATCTCACTTCCAATCCATTGGGTTACTCCTAAAGTTCAAAGTAAACTAAATTGATTTCTCTGTTCTTAACACTACCTTCCTGCAACCAGATCATGACTGACGGGATGTCCGTTCTCATGCAATGTTATTTTAACTTTCAAGATACGTTAAAATAATTTGTTGCATTTGGACAGAACAGATAGATGAAGATTGGTACAAAAATTGTGTTAAAGACTGGAACAAAACTATACTGTCTGTAAATTAGATGCAAGTAAGACTAAGGTCTTTAGTCTTTTAGTTTCACTGTGTTAAACTGGCGGTAACAGCAGAAAGTGCTGCACCAATGTATCATTAATTATATCTGTACTTAACCTGCAGTCAAAATGTTTGCTGTCACTAGGATCTATCATGTTTCACAGATTTTGCAAAATACCTGTTAATTATAGATACATATAACAGAACTGAGATTACACATTGCCATGCATATTGTCTGCAGTTGCCACACTTCCTCATGCTGTTCAGCTCTTCAGTTATTTCAGTGAACGATAGCGGACACACTTTGGCCAGCAGTCCATAGTCATGCATTGTTATCATACATTTATTTTTGATTTATAAAATGTTTTACCTACTTAGCTAATTCAAAAGATCATATCACAGTGCAGGGTTTTGTACTATTTGAATTTCTGAGTAAATGTTTGAAGATACACACCAAGTAAATCTAAATACCACATGCATGGACTCACTCTGAAGCTTGTTCAAGTCTCTAGTCATTTCAACAAGGCTGATGTTCAGCAGATCTCTCTCTTGAGTCAGACTAGATGACATGTTGACGCTGGCCTGGAGACGCTCAGTCAGGTTGGCTTTGATGGCTGAGAGATCTGCAGCTAAATGTCATAAAATAAACCAAGAGACATTTTTTTAAGTTCAGTAAAAGATCTCAGAATCAGGTACCAAATAATTAGAAACAGCATCCTAAGAGGTTCATGCGTGGTAGACTAGAAGGTGGTTTGGTAGAAATCTGTTTTTTGTTTTGGATTATTTTAAAATGACTAAAGTGCCTGTTTGAATTTACTACTACATCACTGCGAATCTCCTACTCTATATTTGTATTTGTTTTATTAACAATAACAATTGTATTCTTAACTGGACTTTTCTATGTTACTACCTCATTATACAGTACATGTAGTATTTCATACCTGCTGCCGTGGTTGTAAATGGGAATTTGTTCTTAACTAACTTGCCTGGTTAAATAAACAATAGAATAAATTCAAATATCGTATGCCTTGTCTTTAAAGTAATGCCGCTTTTTTAATGCAGTGACAATGTAAATACATGTAGATGGGAATAATGTATTGCCTTGTTGTCAATACAAACTTTAAATACAGAAGAGACATTTCCTTAACACAAAATACCTTTTGCACCCAGGCCACACAGAAACAGTTACTATATTTACATAAGTCAAAATGTTTCTGAATTCTGCCCAATGACAGTACATTTTTTTAAGTAGGACCTTATGTTTTCCCAGAAAATACGCTAATATTATATAAATGTTGACAACCGGCAGCACTAACCAAACATTGTTGAAATATGGCACCAGAAGGAAAGCTTGCTTGGTGCTGGTGTTTATTTAAAGCTCTACTTACACAGATTTGCTGCATGACAATAAATTTTTACCTTCTTGGTTAAATAATATATTCACAAAATATGAAAATGTTGTGTTTTGTATCTGTTGAACCTTTGTGAAAAGCGGCTTTGAGTTTCAAACAAACACAGGAAAATCAGAAAGTCAGAAATTAAGAATTCATGAAGGAGAAAATAAGAGCATAAAGACAGGACGGAAAAATAAAATAGACATCTTAATAAAACATGAGCAGAATAATGGTCCTAAAATTGTTACTCTGGTTACTGAAAGTGGTTCAAACTCACAGTGGACAGCGAGGCCGATGAGCCCAGCCAGCTGGAAAACATTCAGCAGCCCCAGACAGAGAACAACAGCTCCATGAAATCTTCTCTCTGAGCTACTGGGACCTGAACACGGAGAAGACCAGTGAATACAGTCAATGATACAAGAGATGATGATATAAATCTGTGCAAGCTCAGTCTTTCACCCTCTCTGTCTGACTGGACATTCTTACCTTTCCGATTTGGTGAAGGTCTTGGGGCAACAGGTTTGTCATGTTCAACATTGGCGTAGATTTCGTCCATCGCTCATAAGGTGGCCAACTGTTTCCTAAAGGGTCCGCTCTGCAGTGCAGACTGCAGCACATGAAAATGATGTCAGTCTTTCTGGTTTCAATTTCTCAATGCTTTACCTTTTCAGGAAGTCACAAGTTTCAGAGCTGTTAAAAGTAACTTGTATGACAAACTCCCGCTACTCCCTTAAAGCAACATTATTATCACACACAAACCCCAAATACAAGGCTCACCTTAGAACATAAACACAACTTAAGTAATAATTCTAATGCCATGTAGATGCTATCAGTATTGAGTACATGCCCTTACAAGGTCTTACAGACATGAATTATAACAGCACATTGATGATTTAGGAGTTAAGGGCTGGAACAGCTTCTGGGTAGGTGCTGTTGCAGAACCTGGCTGCACTGGTTCTAATGCTTTTCAGTTTTTTAAAAGAAGGGATAAAGTTAAAAGATGGTTAGCAGGGAGAGAGAAGTCATGAAGGATATTGAGTGTCTTTTCCCATAGTCTAATGGTGTAGATTTCAGCAGGAGAAGGTCTGACAATTCTGTTTCTTTCATGAACATGCTTTAGAAACACTGTATAACAGCTTTAAGCAATTTCAGTCTAAAAAAAAACATTGAATAGATTTTCAAAATGTGAGTGCTGTTCCCTCTAGACTTTTATTCCCAGAACAGCGTTCCTGTGTGCCCCTCATTCCCACCACTGCTTGTAACCAAGGGGGTGTGGGACTACAGCACCTTTTTACTGACCGACAACAGTCAAAATTTGGAAGGCAACAAGAGGACAGCCTACATGTGGTATAAACATAATGTAAGTTGTTGTTGGTATTTCAGAACAAATAGCCAGTTTCTGGGTAAGTGGCAGATGTGGCTCAAAGGGTAAAGCGGTTGTCCACTTATGGGAAGGATGGTGGTTTGATCCGCAGCCCAGTCTGCATGATGCATCCTTGGGAAAGATATTGAACCCTAAATTGCTCTTATGTGTTTCTGCCTCTGAATTCATTTAGAAGGTGATGTAGTGTAAAAGCACTTTGAGTGGTCAGAAAGGCGCTATACAAGTACAAACCACTTTCTTTTGTGATGAGGACAGTGTCATGCTGTGGCATATCTGGTTTGGTTAGTATTTCCTGAGAGAGGGTAAAAACGCCTCTGCTGAAGTGTTCTGTCAGATGAATGTGTCACTATGTGTCACTTGATATGTTTAATACACAATGACTATAGTTTGATATCTAATTAGGCAAAATCTTAATTATGATGTTTGACTGACTGTCATGAAGTTTACAGAACAAATAACGCAACCAAAACCATAATGTACTGTGTGTGTGCCTGATTTATTTTAATGTGCTATCACTGTTTAGCTTTAAAACTAAACCTTTAAACCAGACTGATGCCATAAGAAATGGTCTCAACCTATCCAAAAATCTTTAGATGAAGCACTAATTAAATGTTATTTTTGATTCTGTCTGTCTCCCTCTTGTTGTTGATTGGAACATCAGCAAGTTGGTGAGTTTATATGACAAGAAAGAAATGGGAAAAATTTCTTCCAAAATTGGCCTGTTGTACTCTTTTACCACGAGGGCAATCATCTTATGTAAATACAAGTCAGTCATAGTCATTAAAGATCGTGAGAACCAACTAAGCAGAACAGGAGATACTGTATACTCTGCCTGGCAGAGACTTTATTCTTGAATTTCAACTTGTTGGCAAATCAGAGGTGTAGCAAATTCAAAATGCTTCGACATTGCAAACATGATCAAAACACTCATTCAAACTGATTTATTGATTCTGGAATCTGCTTCCATGGAGTCTGCACTAAATGTAAAAGCCAACCCCACCTTGACTCAATCTACTTTAACGTCTTCTGTCATCACAAGAGAATTTCCATAAAATGTGCCAAATCATATGAGCAACTACAAGGAACTTTAATTTTGTGTTGATCCTGGCGCCCCTGTAGACAAAAGCCGCAGTGTCTGGTAAAGGGGCCCCTGGTGGCTGTTCCGCCAGTGTATGAATGTGTGTGAATCTTAGTTTCTGTTTGAGCACTTACGCTCAGTGTGTGAATTAAACCAGACATGCAGATGTAGTGTAAAAGCGCTTTGAGCGGTCGAAAAGACTAGAAAGGCGCTATACAAGTACGGAGCATTTACATTTAAAAATCATGAATCTCAAA